TCGCTGGGAACAAATATTTAAAATACAGAAAAATAAGTAACATAAGCACGAATATTTAAAGCCAGGAAATTCAGAATGTGATATTTGCACACTGGGATGTCTTATTTGTTTGCTATGTTGATCAGAGCAGAAAGTTTCCATAGCTCTATTTGTGTATTCATAAGTGGTAGTGGAAAGAAATGAGTCATCGTTTGTACATTTTGGCAGTGGAAGGAAAAAGTCAACTTCATGTCAGGCAGCCCAGAGCCCCACGTCCTTCACAAACTCCTCTTTTAGCATGGAGCAGCAAAAGCGGGCCTGAGAAGAGGTGCACCGATCTGGGAACTTCTCAAATACTCCTGCTTAGAAGAATAGTTTCTCTAATGAGAAACAGCCTTGTTCAGAAGTGGGGGGAGCTTGCACGCTGAACATAGAAAGGCAGAGCCATAATTTTATTGTAGCGTTTTACCCCAGACAGCCTTTGATGACCCCATGTACCCAGCCAGTGTTAGCTCTGGAAACACCCTGCCTTTAGCTGATGCCATGGTAATAAGCCAACTAAGGTGTCACAGCCTTTGATAACTGCTCAAAAGAAACAGAGCCAGACACTAGTTAAAGGCAACTTAGACAGGTTTCACTCAGTACTAGTGCAACAGGGAAAAGAGTGGAGCTCATTTCCAAATGCAAGGAAGAGTGGAAGTTTATGGGCAACAAAAGGGACAAGGGGTCACTGGATGGAAAACTGAGATGGGGGAGGGGGCAGGGCACAACCATTAAAAAAAAATACACAGCAATTGAGCATAGGACATAAACTGGTTAGAACCAACTTGGCCCAAGATGATGGAAGATTCAACTTCCAGTAGATCTTGAGCCTCATTATAGGTTCATTGTAACACATTAGCTGTTAATGCGACACCCACAAGTGCCATGACAGTTCTCAGGCTGATCACAAAAGGACAAAAAGTATGTGGGGCCCGGTTCCTGAAAGTTCCCACCCCTCGCCCAAACTGTTGTAATAACCCCCCCCCCATTAGCACAGGAAGTTACCCAGCCCCTGAAGACTAACCGCCCCATACCCTGAGGCCACTTCTCCTGCCTTCTAGGATGGCCTGTACTCTGCCTAGGGGGTGTGTATCTCCCCAAATAAAGTCACTTGGCTATGGCTCACTCTTGACCTCTTTCCTGTGTGAGAATGTTAGAGCAGGCAGAGAGCTAGAAATGAGTAGAGAAAGGAGGACACAGACCACATGGCAGGAATTGGGCAGAAAGGAGGGGCACAGGCCAAATGCTGGAAAACATACATCATGGAAGCACCAGGGGTCCCTGGGCAGAGAAAGAAAAGCAGGAACCTTTGGGCTGATGAAAGGCCACAACTTTTGGCCTGAGACCAACAAAGAAACATCAGAAAAGG